CTCTCTGCTACTCCAAACCCAGTGGTGTTCACACTGTCAGGGCAGGCTTCCCTGGGGAGAGTGGACCCAGGAAAGGGTACTACACAGGTCACAGAAGTAGGGGTGAGGCCATCTAGGCAGGGAATTTTAGGGTTCCAGATGCCAGGTGCAAAATTCAAGAAGAGATACAGTTTCTATGAGGAACCTGTGCCCCTGCCGATTTCTTTCTCCTTAAGGAGCAATGTGGCCAGAAAAGGGTCAGTGCAGGCTTTTCTATAGCATGGGGCAGCTCAGGAGCCTTTCCTGACCATGTTTCAGGTACCATGAACGTGAGAGTTCCATGATATTATTCTCTTTAATCTTTATGCAGCTGTGAAATTCTATTAAATATAAAAGTTTTTTAAAGACTGAAACATGAAAAGAAAATCCTTCTAAAAACTGATCTATAGGACTCCTGAGGCTCTGGGATTCTAAATCTTTGAGTATTCTTGAAACTTCCCTGTAGACTCAATTCCTTAGAAACTGAAGTGATAAGCTCTTCCAAGGAATACCCAGTACCACATACATAAGGACCCAGTGAGTATTATTTAATAATGCTATGGACCCAATCTACAAAATAAACAATTTCCAGAGAATGTGGGGGAAATCTAGAACTATCATGGGGGTGTGCATAGGCCAAATTCAGCTTCCTCAACTGGAAACCTTTCAGAGTTTCAAAGAAAATATAAGAGTAACCCAAAAAACAGACACTAAGAAACAGAGAATGAGTCTTCTGATTGAGAAGCAGTTGTGTTTAATCATTAAAATTATTCTCCCCAGTGGAGAAGTCACCTACGTTTCAATGGACCTTCCCAATGGAGAAGTCACCTACGTTTAAAAGGGCTTCTTCTCCCTCACATATTTTAGAGGCCAATAGAATAAATGAAAAATCTCTAAACTCAGGCCCTGGTGAAGCCTCTGGAACAGAATTCCCCTCATTTTTCTACCCTATGTCAAAGGTCACTGTCCTCAGACACCTGGTATCTGAGGTATCTGATAAGGCTGGCCTAAGTGATGCCTTCAACTTCTGTCTGCAGAGACTTCCAACTCTGTGCCCCAGAGGGCTGGTTCTTCTCATTCTCGTCATCAGTGGGCTGAAGAGTCCTCGGTAGTTTGAGCTCAGGGTTCCAGCTTTCTCCAGTCATTTGTCCTGAAATGTTCTGTCCACTGGCAACTGGACCTTCCAGAACAGCCTCCTCTGGAGCACTAACGTCCTTGTAAGTGGCTTCTGCCTCAGATATTTCAGGACCTAAGAGAAGACCCAGCCATTAATTGCACATGTAACCTTCTCCCAAAAAACTGTGAAACTGGATCACAGAAAAAAAAAGGGGTGGGTGTCTTCAGGACCACGCTAAAGGATGAGGAGTGGGTCCCCAAGCCATTTTAGTTAACACAGGTTCAGTTCTCCTATCCTCAGTCACCTACTAAAATTCCTCCACCCTAATAACTTACTTCCCATAGTGGTGAGGAAATTCAGGAAGTCCTTCAAATCATCCATCTTTAGTCTCCTTATGGAATC